CCAGCCAATGGGGAGGAGGTGGCTGCCTGCCGCGGCCCGAATCCCCTGGTAATCCTGCTGCCCAGGGGCTCCTTGCCTTCCCAGCAGAGCGGGGCAGGCTGGCAGGGGCAGGTTCAGAGGAGCCAAGGCAGGAGAAAGTGGAGTAACTATGTGGGATGCTGTTGATGGACCCAGCAAGAACGGAGGGTGCCAGGGAGGGGGCAGTGGAGGATGAGGGCAGGAGCCCATGCTTCAGTAAGGTGTAAAATGGCCAAAGGGCCTGCTTCAGAGCCCTCCCCCTCTTCCTCAGCCACCAGCCAGAAGGATGGAAAAGCACTGGTGTGGTTTTGCAGGGCATGTGTCCAACAGAGAAGGAAGACAAGAGGGACCAGACGAGGAATCTCTGCCAGCCATGGCTTGAAATGCCAGATTCATCCCTGGCAGCTCACTAACATATCCCCCTCAGAAAAAAACCCAAACCCTCTCAGTGGCTGCCACCTCTAAGGCAGGCACTGGGGACAAGCCAGTCTCTGGCCACACAAGGGGAACCCATTTTATTTCCAGAGAGCAGGCTGAGGCTCGCACCAGGTGGGGTTTTGGGGAGGGAAAGGCCAAGGCTGTAAACCCCCAAAGGTCCTCAGGCTCTTGGCAGTGTGTGTGTGGGGGGGGGCTGTGGGGGCTTTGCAGCACTCACAGCCAGGGTTTAATTTCTATTAATAAGGCTAATCAGCTAAAGCCCTGGCCATCGCTTGTGCTCCTTCCTTCACCCACATTGCCCCTCCCATGAGGGCTCTCCCAGCACATACAGGGCATTCCAGACAGGTGAGGTGCCCGCAGATCCCGACCTCTGGGATGGCCACAGAAGCATCGTTCTCCATTTTATTTAAAAAAAAAGAAAAAGAAAAAATAAAAAGAATATTTTCCGCAGGACAATAGGCAGATGAGCAGAGCAACAGCACTGTCATTGCCCTGCCTTGCCTCAGGGCTGCACAGCAAGGGAAGGGGCCATGCTGGGGGTGAGAAGGGGCAGATGCTGCTGTAAAGGGGCTGAGAGCAGAGCGCTGCAAGATGCAGACCCTTTCAGCTGGTCCACGCCACAGGGAGACCTCCTGTGGCCTCCTCCCTTTGGGGTTCATTTTTCTGGTAGCAAAGAGACTGTTCAGTGAGAGTCCTTCTCTACCCCCAGCAGGGCTAAGAAAGTTTCACCTTTGTCATCCTGCTAGCTCTGCCCACACTGCAGATGACCTTACCCACCCATCCCTCCACCTCCCACACCAGCAGCATCCCCTCTCCCAGGTCACAAGCACCAGTAACACCACACTTCTCCCATTCAAGTATGGTAACATCACACAGGGAGGGGGGACAGCAGGGATCTGCTGCTGGCTAAAGCTTGCCAGACAGCCCGGTGAGACAGGTCTTAATGTCCCAGAGGTAAGGGAGGGGAAAAGAGAGGTTACTCCAGGAGTGGTAGCACGAGGTTGCTGCCTAGCTGGGGGGCACAGCCCATCACTTGTATGCCTCCTCCTTCCCTGCTGAAATTGTCCATTGTCTGCAGCCTCGCTTCATCGGATGATGGGTGCCGAGCGGTCGTTGGTGACTGTGGGACGCAGCTTCACTGTGGCAAAGGGGTTGGTACCTCTGGAAGGGGAAAGGAAACAAGCAACCATCAGGAAATCTGCAAAGACCATGCAGGGGTCCTGCTGACAGAGCAAAGGGCATTTGGTCCTGCTGGAGACCTGCCTCCATGCTGAGGAGGAGCGTGGTAAAGCTGGCTGCTGAGGATGTTTTCTCCCTCTTTAACGCACACTGCTGCAGGTTCCCATGGGGCTCCCCTTGGGCTTGCCTCAGGGCTTCTCACCCTCCCTCTTCCATGGGTTGTAGAAGGGACACTACCAAGCCTGTCCCTTGCAGTAGCACTCTACATTTGTGCCCCCTGACCCTCCAAGCAAGGAGTCAGGGAGCAGAAAGAGACCATCACCATCCCAGAAACATGGAGACACCAACCCAGCTGCAGGGGGAAGGAAAGCAGGGATCTGTGGCAAATCTCATCTCCACAGCCCTGACTCATCAAAGCTAAAAGCCACATCCCTTATGCCTCAGCCCTTTCCACGCAGGCAGAGCTGCACAAATCATGTAGCTCCACACTCAGTGTGTGAGCTGCTGTTGTGGCTCTTCCAGAATGGAAGGAGCATGCAGGACCCATATATGCTCAGAGTGCTCAAGTCCTACCTCATATTATGAGCAACAGGAGAGAGCCTTCCCAGTCAGCAGAGGCCAGAGTGGCCCCCCTCTCTCTCCTTTCCTGGAAGGTGGGTTGTGCATTGCTTTCCTCCAGACGCTTCCCTGCTCCTCCCACATTTGATAATCCAAAAGATTAAATAATTATAGCATTGTAATAATGCCTCCCCTGTCTGATCATTCCAGAGCGGAGCTTCTCGCCTCACTTACCGTGGGAAGAGTTCAGGGGGTTGGTCAAATATTCCTGATTTCTGCAGTGAAAAGAGAGGCAGCAGTGAGCAATCTGAGGTAGGGAATGGAGGGACACAAGTGAGGCAGGGGACACCGCACACACTGAGAAGGATTTCACAAAACACTTTAGTTAGTAGCCCAAGTCCTATTAACAGGGCTCTGACTCCTTATTCATCCACGCTTTGAAAAAGCCCACAAATTCACCGCTACAGATAACACTGATTTCTCTGGTGTGTTCCCTTTTCCCCTAGGACACCTCCCTTTGTCTTGGGAAAGATGCCTCAGATCCCCAGAGTGTCGTGACTGAAAAGCACAGCAAACAGTGACAGTCTGAGCTACATTTCACCCTGCCAGCACAGCCAGAGATGCCCCCCTCGTGTTACCCCCACCCCCTGGCAATGAGTTTATCATCAGTGCCCTCACATGCTTCCTGCACCCACAGGGAACTCAAGAGCTGTAGCTACCTACCCTACACCACGTACTGCTTGAATGTGGACCAGCCTGATGGAGAAAGATGGAGCTAGGCTCTCTGGCCCTTATTCTTGGCTAGTAGATAGTGAAGGATCAGTGATAACTGACCTAGTAAACTATGCCAGTTTCTGTAGCTGGTGGCAGACAAGAAAGTCACATGTGGCTATCTGTGTTCCAGTTCGGAAATCAAACACACACCCCTTTGCTGCTGGCTCAACTGGAAGACATCTTGGGTGTAAGTTTAGAGTATGGCTGAGTCTTTCCAAACTTCTAATGAGGCTCAGTCACTCTGCCATGGTACTCCAAATGCTCCACACACTTCATTGCTCAGTCCCAGCTCTATCCCTATACCCTAGCCCTGGGACTGGATGAAACCCATGACCCAGAGAGGGTAATAGGCTGCAGATCCTATTCCCCTCTGTGCTGTGTCACCTCAGGCTCCCTGAAACCACAGAGCAAGACATGAAGGGAAAAAAAGAGTTATTAAATGTTGCATTTTTCAGTCCTTTTAGCCATGCCTTTGCTTGCAACCTTGCACTGGCCTGGAACCAGCAACCAGAGATGAGGTTTCCCAGCCTCCTGTGAGACTGAGCAACTAATGCCCCATGGGCAGCACTGGTCTTTCCTCTTCCAGGTCCTCACCTTTAACTGTCCTCAACTTTAACTTTGTCCTCACCAGTCAATTCCCCACAGCTGGAAGCACTGATGAGTCAAGGGTTTCCTCCTCAGTACACCATCCATAAGGCATAGTTTGGACACAACTTGATCTAAGGATGTCCAAGATGGCTGTGCCCTCAGCCTTTGTCCCTAGCTTTTCCTTTACCCCAGCTATGATTTTAATCCAACCCCTGCTTGAATTTAGAAGAGGAGCTGTATGAAACTCCTCTCCGTTCTCTGAAGGGAGAAGAAGGATGGCATCTCTGTTAGCTGGTCACCCACTCCCAGCCCAGCCTGATCACTCCATGGTCCTACTATTAGCAGAAAGAAGTGCTGCCCTGGAGCCACCAGAAATCAGGCTGGGAGGTCATGGAGAAAAGGGCTGAACTGAAGGATCCCTGGTGAGCAAAAAGAGAAAGAAATGAGAAGGGCAGGGGCACAAAAGCAGCCCCTTGTGGGGGCAAAGCGAGGTACTGAGGATCTGCACACACAAGGCTGACTGGCAGGGGTCACCAGGATACGGTGGCACACAAACAGACTGGGTGAGAAAGGCCAGTGCTAGCAAAGCTCCTTAGCTCAGGAAGGGAGGAGGTCACACACTAACATCTGGAAGGTGTTTTTCTTTCTCAACAGGACTATGCAGAGAAGGTGTGTGTAGGAAGATGAAAGTCAGACACTCCACACACACACACCAGTCACTCCTCCTGCACTCACCTTGGAGCCAGAACTGAGCGGGGTGACCACCGCGCTCTGGTGACTGCTAGCTCCCACCGAGAGGGGAGGTGGGTTCGGCAAACGGGGCTGGGCAGCAGCGGGCCAGTAACTGCTAGAGGAAGGAGTGCTGGGACGGTCCAAGATATCATCCATGCTGTGACTGCTTCGCAGTGGGAAGGACCTGAGCAAGAGGAAAGACAGTGTGGTGAGAGTCAGAGAGCAAGGAA